TATTCAGCATCTTAGCTGTGGAGGGCAGTGTCACTGGCCCTCATATGTGGGATCTGAACCGGGGCCCTCTGGCGTCCCAAGCCAGCTCCCAACCATCGCGCCACTCGGCCAGCCCTTATCTTCATTTTTAAAATGAGGAAACTGAGTTTCAGAAAGCCTAAGTTGTTCAAAGTTTTTCACCTAATAAACAGTACAATATAAAAAGTGTACCTATGAAGAGAATATATAGCAACACGAAAAGTGTTAAGAGAAATCTGCAAAATAAAAATTTATTTTAGGCGTGAAAAATATATATGGTTAGGAGCAAAAACAGGAGAATAAAAGCATGTCATGCATCTGAATGAGGTAACGTGAATGCTTTTACATTTTTTGATATTATTCCCTCTTGATATAATGTTTGTCCAATCAAATGGGGAGAAAATTATTGTGAAACTAATTCAAAGGCCAGTCACCATTTCCCTCTCAAGGGTTGTCTTCATCATGTCAATTTGTTCAAAATCGTCCAAATTCTAGCTTTCTCCATGATCAAGTTCAAACCCAGCTCCTTGGCATTTTCACCCTGCATGTTCTGTCTCCTGCTGGCTCCACCCCAGCTATTCACACACCTGGCAGGCAGGTCCAACCCTCCATTCATTTTGTCCAGTATCTACATCCCTTCCCTACTTCAATAAGTGTAGGAGCTTCTCTGATCACAACTTCCTCCATCTCTGTGATCTGTGAATAGCTCACGATTTCTGATTTTTTTCTCAACCACTTGACATTTAATGCCTGTAAGTATTTTAATTTTGATTTCTTTGCATGTTGCTTCTTATGCCCCATGAGTGTGCTATCATGTCTGTGTGTGTAAGAACTGCCATACACAATATGTAGAAAGCAGAAAGTACCTGCTTTGTGAATGGATGAGCGAGGGAGAGTGAAAGAGAAGGACATTCTTGGAGTGTCCATCCTGTAGGGTCCAGATCCCCAAAGACTGCCCCAGGTGCCAGAGGTGCGGTTGCTCAAGGGAAGAAAACCCCTCCACTTGCTGCAGCGTAGGGGGCCTTTCCAGAAAAAAAGTCTCTCTCTCTCTCTCTCTCTCTCTCTCTCTCTCTCTGAGGGCAGAGTCTTAGAGTGCAGGGCCCACTGAGTTCTCTTGAGGAGTGCTTAGCCTGAGCTGTTCCGAGAGTGTTAGTAAGAAGCCCGTGGAGAGCTGCAGGTCAGCTGCCCTAACAAGAGAAGGGGCAGTTTGGGCTCTGAGTTTTTTATGTTTCTATTCTACTTCCAGGAACAGAAGTAATTCAGCTTTAGGTTACTTTCGTTATGCTTGAACTACAGTAAAACCTTAGATTGCGAGTAACGTGGTTTGCGCATGTTCCGCAAGATGAGCCAACATTTCTAATACATTTTAACGTGGTAAACGAGTTTGTTTCTGGAACGAATTATGCTCGCAAACCAAGGTATTACTGTATTTTTTTTAAGTGTAAGAAACTGAAAATAGGGGCCCAGGTGGAGGGTTAGGGGAGTTTCACCTTTCTAATTGGTTTCCACCTTTGCCCAAAGGTCAACAAAAAAAATAACTCCAGCCTTAACCTGGAGATGAAGATCTGAAAGACATGCAGTCAGGAACAGCGGTTCTCAACCTTCCTAATGCCGCGACCACTTAATACAGTTCCTCATGTTGTGGCGACCCCCAACCATAAAATGATTTTCGTTGCTACTCTATAACTGTAATTTTGCTACTGTTATGAATCGTAATGTAAATATCTTTTTGTATTCCGATGGTCTTAGGCGACCCCTGTGAAAGGGTCACTCGACCCCCAAAGGGGTCAAAACCTGTGGGTTGAGAACCGCTGGTCAGGAATGTTAGCCATGGCGAAGAGGGGCGCGTGGTTGGAAGTGCGGGCAGGGATATGATGGGGTGGGAAGAGGGATGGTGAAGAGTTGTAAATGCTCCCTCCTCCAGGCCCCTGCCGAACTGCTCAGAAGCGTGTTCTTTCCGGCCTGGCTTCTGTGGGCAGCCGCACCCACAGCCACGCCTCTGCGCTCATGATCGCACTCAGCTGGGTGCTCTCTGCACTCATCGCCCTGGCTCCGCTGCTCTTTGGCTGGGGAGAGGCCTATGACGCTGAGCTCCAGCGCTGCCAGGTAAGCCAGGAATCCTCCTACGCCGTCATCACCTGCGGAACCTTCTACCTGCCGCTTGGCGTGGTGCTGTTTGTCTACTGGAAGATCTACAAGACAGCCAAGTTTCGCTTCGGACGCCATCGCAGGGCTGTGCTGCCGTTGCCCCCCACCGAGCAGGTGCGGTCCGGGCTGAGGAGTGGGGGTTTGGAGAAAGGAGTCCCTGGGGAAGGAGGAAGCTTGGTGAAAGGGGGAGTTGGCGGCGGAAGCTTGCGCCCTTGGGACGCGCGGGTAAAGGTTGGCCACCGGCGCACCTGCAGCGCACACGGAGGGGTTCATTACCTGCATCCCGCGCTCACGCGAAGGGTTGGCCACTGCGTACCTGGCGCGTGCTGGGGAAAGGGTTTCAGCACCTGCACAACAAAGCTGGAGCTGGCACCCCCGAACGATGAGGCTGAAGGGGGCTTGCAGGGGCAGTGTTTCTAGGTAGTGGTGAGGGCACGTATGATCAGCTGCGCCCTCTGATGCTTTTCCCCGGAGTGATGTGTTCGTGTGAGTCCTGCAGCCGCCAACTCCCTGGTCCAGGCTAGACCAAACGGCACTGAGGTAGGCTGGGAGGTCATCGTGCTGATGAGCAAATTCCTGTGACCATTCACCCCTTATTTTCTGTCCCCATCGCATCCTAGCCCACCTTCTGCATTCCAGAGACTATATCCTGGCCAGCTCCCTGCCACGACTGAAGGGGGAGGATAAAATATAATCCAAGTGTCGCTTCCCTTTCACCATCCTAACCTCAGTGCCCTTCTCTAGCGACTTTGGGAGGAGTTGGAACCCTGCGTTCAAATCCCAGCTCCAGACACTGGGGCATTTGCTTCATCTCTGTGGGCCTGTTCCCCATCTTTAAACAAGTTGATTCCTGCATCGTAGGGCTCTTGGTGAGGAATAAAGAAGGTGAATCACTTAGCACAGTGCCTGGCACAAGGGTGGACGCAGAGCTGGGTGAAGTAAGGTGATCCACAAGGTCTTGCTCCGCATTCTGTAAACAGGCCTAAACTTAACCTTGGAAATGAATGAGATGGCGGAGACTGAATTTGGCAGAGCTTCTCTCCATTGTATTTAAAATTGAGACTTGCTGCCTTTTGGCCAGGCCCTAATAGATGTCAGCCCCCTCCTCTCCCTGGAAGCCCCAAATTCCCCTTTTGGTGGTGGCTGTGGTGGTAGGGGAGTGTCTTAGGCTCAAAGTCCTGGATAATAACAGGACTTATTGCCCATTTCCATATATAATTTTGGGTTGTCAGAAAAGTCACGACGCATTTTTGCAACAAAAAACAGAAAAAAATATGTCATGACTTTTCTGACAACCCAATATATGGACCAGGGAAGTGGAGCGTGAGGGGGTAAGAAAAGAAGGTAAGTTTCTTGTTAGTTTTAGTTTAATTTTGGAAAGTTAACTCAGCTAGGCTACTCAAATACATGTTTTAAAAAGCAGGCTTTTTTTTCCCCCTTCTTTAAATGACAAAGGAATTTTGTCGCATAAAATAGGAATGTCAAGACTATAATTGGAAAGCTTTGTTAGAAGAGAGCTTTATTCAAAATGAATGATATTCTTTGAAAGGTCCCTTGGAAATACCTGGGGGTGATTATAGCTTTTCTGTCTGATTGCCGAGGTAGGACTGACTTTTCATACCCACATCAATCCAGTGTGCACCCAGAAAATCATGGTGAAATGGACGTCATGGTGAAAGGCTTGCCAAGCCTGAGTTGAGTGTTCATTTTGACAGACCCCATTCAGGCAGGTGAAACAAGGAAGATGTGATGGGACAGGAGCCTGGCCAACCCTGGGTAGTCATTTGTGGGGAGAAAGAGCTCTGGGAGGCACGGACAGTGTTGTCATTTAGCCATTTACTGGCAGGGGACCAGAGGCAAGCCCTTTCTCCACTTTCGGCTGCTACTTCTCTTCTCTAACACACAGTATTGGCCTAAGTCATGGCTAAGAGTCTTGCATCATATATTGCTGAGATTGTGGGTGAGATGGTGTTTGAGAGCATCCTTCTTCTTTAGGCTCCATCAAGCTCTCACTCAAACTCTTGGGTAATGTTGCTGAGTTCTTTTCACTCTTGCTCAGAGTTTGGTGTGGGTCTGGTGGCCCTCCTGCATAGCTCTCTTCCAGGCAGTAGCTCATGGATCTGGGCCACTTATCATTTTTTTTAGCTCTGTTGTTTTGAACATGTAGCTTCAAAGGTTGCTGTGGAGATACAGCAGTTCCCCCCATCGTCTGTAGTTTTGCTTTCCATGGTTTTAGTTGCCCAAGGTCAACTGCAGTCTGAAGATATTAAATGAACAATTCCAGAAATAAACAATTCATAAGTTTTAAATCGCATGCCATTCTTAGTAGTGTGGTGAAATCTTGTGCCACCCCACTCCTTCCTGTCCGGGACGTGAGTCCCTTTGTCCAGCACCTCCATGCTGTAGATGCTCCCCGCCTGTTTATCACTCAGTAGTCATCTCTGCTATCAGATCAACTGTCATGGTATCATATCATCCTTATTTTACTTAATAATGGCCCCAGAGCACAAGAGTAGTGATGCTGGAAATTCAGTATGCCAAAGAGAAGTTGTCAAGTGCTTCCTTTAAGTGAAAAGGTGTGTATGTACAATAAGTCTTCACTTAAGGTCATCAGTAGGTTCTTCGACTTTAAGTGAAGCGATGTATAAGGAAATCAGTTTTACCATAGGCTAACTGATATAAACAAGAGTTAAGTTCCTACAGCATCTCATCAACTTTATAATGAAATCACATTGAATGAAATGATGTTATTCAAGGACCGGCTGTATAGGAACAAACATAATGTATAATATATAGGGTTTGTTACTACCTGAGGTTTCCGGCATCCACTGGGGGTCTTGGGACATATCCCTGATCTGATACAGGGGACTACTGTATAGCAGCTTTTAACTGCCTTGGCCCTGAAGTGGACACATGTCACTTCCAGTCACAGTCCATTGGCCAGCCACTGGTTGTGAAATTTAGAGGAGTGCTAACGGTCTTTGCCACACAGCCCTCATTTGACAGACGATAAAGCTAAGGTGCCACAGACTTAGTTCATCCAAGACCATCTACAGTTGTTGGGTCTGGAGAAGCTGAAGTTTGTACCAGATCTAAAGTCACTGCCTTTTTCATTATGTTTTCATGACTCTAAGCTGTCTTTGGAAACTTAACTTCTGAGCACTGTCCTGCTGCTCACAGGATCTCACCTTCATAGAAATTTCCCTTTCCAGGAGAGCTGAACACAGCTGAGCACAGGCACTGCCTGCTTCTCTCAAGAGACAGGGTTCATTTGTTCCCTGCATCCTTTCTTTCAATCTCCTAGCTGAGCATGACATATTCAGCACATTCTCCCTCCCCAAAGCAACCCCCATGGGTTAGGATTGTTTCTTACCACCCTATGCCCCTCACTGGTGAGGGGGAAAAAAGCAAAGTCAATAGAGGTTATTTATTTGGCTTTTAAAATAAGACATCAAATAATTTTCTTTTTCAATTGTTCAATTGCTGTTGATACCAGAACCTACTTAGGCACAGTAGGTCCACTACCAGGAGCCACAGTACTTTCAGGGGCCCATGGAAATGGTTTAATTTTAATTTCTTTTAAAATTAGAAGAAAAATTAATATAACAGTAATAAGTATGTAATAATGAACCCAGACTTGAGTATATTAGCTTTCATAATAATGTGGTCATAAAATATAATTTTAATACTTTTTATGGAGGAAGGGCCCATAGAGGCACCGATGCCTGGGGCCCATGAACCACCACGCAGCCCTGGTCGACAGCCTTCACTCATCCACTCAACCAGTACTTATGTGTTGGGAGACAGTGTGCACAGTGGTTAGGAGCATGGGGTTTGGAAACAAGGAGACCTGGATTTCAGTTCTTTTTGTGCCATTTGTTAGCGCTTTATCCAAGTGATTTAATCTAAGTCTGCATTCCCCTGCAGGTAAAGTGGAAATATTGCCACCTGCCTCATAATATTCTTGTAAAGGGTAAATGAGATAATAGCGTATATGGAGTATGTAAACCATACAAACCATAAATTATAGCTGCTATATTATTTTCATTATTTTTAAAAATTCCTCTTACAAATTATACATAATAAATTACTACTGTATTCCTCTTACAGCTGTTACCATCATAGGTGAATTAGTTATTTATTGTGTAACAAATAACCCCAACGTTTAAAACAACAAAAACAAACAAAAAAGGTGGCTTAAAACAACAAACATGTCTGTGGGTCAGGCATTAAAAACTGCAGACGTAGCTGGGGGTTCTGGCCTAAGGCCTCTTGTGGTTGCAGCCAAGACAGTGGTGTGGGTAGCAGTCATTCCAAGGCTTGACTGGGGCTGGAGACTTTGCTTCCAAAATGGCTCACTCACATGGCTGTTGGCATAGGGCCG